CGCATAGTTCAAAAAACAACACAACATTTGTAACGGTTTCAAACGCAAAATATATTAGTCCGGATGCTTTTCAATTTAAGACCCCGAGATTTAGCATATTAAAACAATTGTCAAGTCAGTATGTTCAAGTCAGTATGTCTCGTGTTTAAACCTATTAAATGTGTTTTATTCAATCTAACAGTCCTTTCAAACCAGCGATATTCCCAGATCCCGTAGATAAACCTCTTTATTACAAAAACCTGTAAATATCTGATTAGAATAAATTTGTTAAACGGCACCTTTTAAAAAATATAGTGAGATATAAACTGAACTACATGACATACTTTCCTCACTAATGTTATATTGGATTTGTATAATTCTTACTTAAGCAACTTTACATATTGAGATAGTATAGAGAGAAAGAGAAAAATATATAATAAACATGCAACACAAAAATAGGCCAATACCTGTAATAATGGGGTCAAAACGCGTTGACAACAAACAGAATTCTTTACACTATTCTAAAAATACAACGCTCCCCCATCGAAACTGTCCTGAATCCAGAATTGCAGCGACACCCGATATTTCGGGATCGGCATCTCTTGGACGAGAGCCAAAGATCAGTGAAAATAAGCGCCACAAAAAATACACATAACCAATTAGAAAGTTAAATGATAAATGCTTCTATGCGGGAAAAGATATGAAAGAGCTAGAATTGTGGTCAAATAGTTAAGATGGCATATTGAAGAAAGAAACACCACGCTTGACAAAGTAAACAAATTGCTTCCGAATCAAAAATTACAAATCAATTTTAGATTCGGAAAAAAAAATACGACACGGCCAAAACTTGCACCGGCATTCCGTGTCGTTACCCTGACCAATTGACTTATTTAAACGCAGATTCTAAAAATTGCTGAAACAATCGTTATTTTAACAATAATGGATCGAAAAAACAACAAAGATTTTAGAAAAAAGAACAGACCATCTTTCAAAAGTAAAGTTATGAAGAAAACTTTATTTATGTACGAGGAGTTTGAATCCCAAATGTCTCGAACTGTGATTGCATATTGACGGATTGACCGCGTATTTGGTTCGCTTGGTAATATTATGTTGGTGGTATTTTGCATTGGCTTAACAATTCATTGGTTCAAATCCCGTGAACGTTACAAGAACTTAGGTACTTTTTACCAACTCCTGGACCACAAAAGCTCACCAAATACGAACGTGCACGTGGAAACAGCTGCCTCTGATAATGTCCAGCAGCCGCTGCATTTTGCATCCTTTTGGCTCACCGTTATACGCTTTTGATAAAAAATACGTGAAGAAGTAGCGAACCTGTCGTGACACGTGGCGTTTTCTAAAACTGTCGCCGCCTGGCCTTGTGCCAACACAGTATCTATTTACCTTCGCTGCTTCATTTCGTTTTAACTGCCTTCGAGAATTTCTCGGATACTTTAATTTCGCTCAAAAATACCATTTACAGTATTATATACACGTACATAAATAGTTCATTAAGAAAAACGTTATTCCGACATTCAGTTAGCCTGGTTAGATAAGGTATAAGGAAACCCTTATAGAAAATATACATTTCAGATGACGCTCTTGTAGGGCTGAAACTCGCGAGAAATAGATACTGTGACGTATAAGTGTAACTATTTAATCATAATAACTTTTGAAAAATATTAAAAACGATGTTTAAATAAAACACTTGGTTTAAAACATGAAATATATTAATTAACTCATTTACATAGCATTCATAACGTAGGGCCGTAGTTAAAATCAAATCAAATGATTTGAATCAAATAAAAATATATTAACTAATAAATTTCGCGTTATCAACCGTTAAAAGTTTTGTGTACTACTCCCGTAACCAACAGAGAATACACATAAAAAAACAAATCGAATTTATAATTTTTTTTAAAGTAGTTTGGCTAAAATATTATAAGCACAACAAGGTCCTGTGTTGGAATACGAGGGACACACAAAATTATTTAGGTCGAGAAGGGCACAGAAGTCTCTGATCACACATTACCCCATGCCCCCAAAGGGGACCGGTATTACATTTTTAATGTTATTATGCTAAACTTCGTTTATTTGTATTTGCACAACTCTTACTATTTCAAACACTCGGTTACCTAAGAGGCGAGTAGTAAATCTAAATACACTCACAAAAATAGTACAGTGGTTGTAGCGATTTGGCGCCGATGCTAACGACCGGGGCCTAGGTCTTGTCTGATCACTATTCACGAACTCACACCTGTTGCGGAGTATAATTAGAAAGTGGGAGAGATTATTCTGCCATAGATTATAGCAATAAGAGAGAAAAGGTCGGGCGGAGCGGACGAAAGGGACGGGTGAAAAAGAAGAATTTTCGTGAAAATTCGTGTCCATATAATTCAAACCAACGAACTGTAAAGTATGTTTATATTGTTAATTTCAGTTTTTTTTAGAATATAATTTGTTGTTTAGTTTACTAGAATTTAATTTTTTTTTTTTCCATGCAATAGAAATTGGATTTTTTATTGTTCGATTAAAAGTTTTAATCTCAGTAAAGTACTCGTAGTAGTACGATTCATTAAAGTTTTATTTATCTACAAATTATGTAATACAGAAATAAATACAAGCTTACAATTTACCTATATGGTAGAAAAACGAGAAGAAAATAATTTACTTCGAAGAAAATGATATAATACTTGAAAGATATTATTATAAGCATCAACATACTTCAATGTCTTTTGAAAGACTCGTTGGTAGGTATAGGCACCATCATATGGCTAATAATCAACGGGATGTAGGTTCGATCCCCGCTGGGTCCTTCATGTTTCTAATCAATTTATAATTGCCCGAAAGCATGATTGACTTCGTCTGGTAATTTTATATTAAATGGGCGATGGGACTGTCAAAATTCCGACCGGGTCACGAATCGCAGTTCTCGGAATAACAAGCCATGAAGTTTAATCGGGTTTCGATTTCTCCTGTTTGATATTTCACCTCCTGACTTCATATGAAAACGTACGTAATTTTTGCTCGAGCCTCTTCACCTTCGTCTTGTCGACAACAAATTTCTATATAAAACAGCTGACGTAAACAATTCGTCGCTTCGATAATAGTAAGCGCGAGTTTCCGACGATTTATTTAAAAATGCAATAGGTCCATTGCAAAGGTTCAGTTTCAAGTGAATAGTGGTCGCGAGCTGAATTGAATTTAGATCCGGATTGAATCCTTAATTCTCTAACTTTCAACAAAACCGATTTGCATCGATCCACCGGCGTGTATGCCCAAAACTAAATAACTTTTTTATTTTTTTGCACACAACGGAAAATAGTTTAGCAACGAACTACCAGTTATCTGCATAACGTCGCCGGAAAAAGTTTAACTCTGAAAGCTTTGGTCTAATGTGAACGTGTAATACGAGTATGCTTATAAAAGAAATATACTATCAACAGTATTATTTGATTCTTATTGAATAATATATACAGTGTTCCATTTAAATTAATATTTTGTAAATTAAAAATCCATTATAATCTGAAAAAACGACCCATTGATAAGAATTGACCATTAGTTGGTCGAAATTTGTAAAAATTTAATCAGTGTAATAATTTTGTCATGTACATAAATAGAACGAGTCGAAAAAAAATTGAACAAATTTCTTGGCAATCTTACGGTGTTATCTAACTTACTAAAATTAACTTATTATTGAAATAACCTAACGATTCATTCAAATAAGTAGTGCGTCATTACGAATTTCCTGTAGTTGTATTCAAATAACAAAACCTAAGTGCGGTTCTTACGACGATATATCGACTGGCTTAAGCGCTTATATAAAATAGCAATAACTTCCGTATTTTATCTGGATGTATTCGTAATATCACATTAAAATAGTGTATGGAGCTCGCGCTCATATGAATTGCGGGGATTAGCTATTTTGAAGCGAATTCTGGGACGTTGTTTGTTAGTAAACTGTTTGCTTCATGCAGTGTCCCCTATAATCCTCTAAAGTGCTCTTATTACTATCCTATACACTATATTTGCTGTGTATACTCAATTCGTTTTTCTCTTATTATATTTGAATTTGGTATTATATCCTATATATTAGTTAGTTTTGGATTGTTTTGACAACTGTAAGCCAATAAAAATAGTTTGCGGCGATTCTTTCATCTCGTTACATAATGTTCTTTAAAATGACGTAAAATTAATTAAAAAAACATATAACTTCAAATTGTCCAATTCTCAATATCTTCTATACTTTCTCAAGAATTCGATAATACTAATTTAATTAAAAAAGAAACAGATTCCTGTAGGATCAAGTCATAGGATAATATATCTATGTATAAAACATAATTTATTGACCCTGAAGAAATATAAATATTTGAACCCAAAAGATTATTAGACCTCTATTAATATACTCTTTATAATAGAATATTACATATCTACTTCACGTCTACGTAAAACTAAATCTTAACTTCATACGCAAACTTCAAATATAATAAAATAAAGCATAAATTCTTTGTGGATAAATCCATTAATTTTTCCACATATGCAAAGAATGACGACCCAGTCACAAACTATGACAGTGCGGCGTTCAATTAGATTTTTCTTATTGACAGGCAATATTTAGGAGTCGGTCGTGCACCAAAACATCATTTCAATTTGGCCTGGCGCCAGAGAAGGCCCGATGCGGCGCTGCCTGTTCACGTAGATATACAAAATTCAATACCTCTCTGTAAACAAGAGGCAACAGTTCTCAAAATACTCTGTTTTTGGTGCTCCCTTGTCTACATTTGAAGCTAGAAAACCTTTATTGATTATAGGACATAAGTTACATCGTCTTAACTACCGAATGTTTAAAGAAGATTAAACTGTAAAAAGTCCTTATAATATTAATAAAGCAACTTGAATATCAAAATATATTTCTCCTAGTTCGTCATTGGAATATAAATGAAAATTAGTAATGTTATATCTTACTATTTTGCTTAGGTTAAAATGATCTTTTTACTATATCTATAAATCACTGCACTTACTTGATTCTACAATCTCCAAGCTCGTCCCGACCATCGCCAATAACACTAACCCTCTTAGTAACAAACAGAAATCCTTTTCCATTTTCACTTGTTTCTTTAACTCCACTTACACCACTTTTCGCAACATCATCACATAACCACCTTTCATTATTAACGGTATCAAAAGTATCTGTTCCATCCATACGTATTGATTTCTATCGACTTTTGAATTCTTTGCAACTTTTCTTGCCTTCGACGGTTTATTTTATCAGTTGTTTATTTTTTATGATATCATTATTCGTAACCGTCATATGCTTGTCTCCTATTTTTAAATCTTCCAGTGTCATAATATTTGGTACCAATCCAAGTTCTTCATCCGGAAACAATCTAAAAAAAAAACATTTATTTAAAAAGAGGTCATGAGCATATGATTTCTTTTATCTTTACGATAACAAATGAAAATGGCAAATCTATTTTGGCTCAAATTAATTTTGTGAATCATAACATCTTAGGACCACCCACATGTTGTTATTTTGTTTCGCATAAATTAATGAACACTTGAAGTCATAGACTAACATAGTTTGAGAAATTCAATCTATATTTATCTTGTTGCCTAGGTGACCTACGTGACGTCACCGCAATTTTAATTACATTTAATTATATCCGATCTGTTTAACTATATAGTAAACCGAAACAACCATTGTAGTAGGTCTCTCGATGACGCGTTAGTCGTGTATCTGGCACGTCATGCGGAGGTCATGATATTTTGGGCGTGTGTCATGCTTCCGTCGAACTAATAATAAAGCTCCCTCCGGATGTTTCGTTTCCTTTGCCTTGAAAATAATCGGATCCAATTAGTACTGGTTTTGGTAATTAAATGAAAAGGACATTTCATTGTCTTAAATTGATGAAATTCACACTTTGATATTTAATGGGCGTGTGCGGTTCAACTAAGTGTAGATTGAGGCAAGTTTTTTTGATTATTCGTTAATTTAAAAGTCATAAAATTACGTCGCTGTTGAAATTATTTGGCTATGAAATGAAGTGTTTTCAATATATCAGTAATGAAAAGTCATATTGACATCTATCCCATTATTATTACTCTCACAGCATATAGGATATTTCGATAAAATTGCACCGTCATTAAATGAAGCTGCAAGGGAACACAATTAATCAGCTCTAGAGCTGATGAATCATTCTCGATATCCAATAATAATTTAACTTTCCTTATTAATTTTTAATTTCATATTACTCCTGTCCCTCGTAAGTCGAGGGTCAGATAAGGATCATGGTGGTAGCGTAAATTATAATTATCGTGACAAGAATTCCTTTTCTCTGCGTAATCTAATTAAATTTTGACGTTGCGGTGGGCTGTAAGCCCGTTGTGAAAGGGTTTTAAATCTATATTCGTACGTGAATCGGTGCTTAGTCAGGTTAAATAATTTTGTGGATTACGTGAGTTTTATCTTGTCTTATCAAACATAGACATATTATTAAGTCGATATGCACTCACCCTGTCATGGGAGGACACAGTATTTATTAAATATAGTAGCTCAATTAAATAGAGCCGCATTTTTATAAAATCATCACGTGCAAAAACATGTGAAAAGTATTAAAGATTTCAAAGTTATTATAATTAGTAATGTTTCCGTCTAGCTTTGTACCTTGACCAAGACCAGATAAGATCGAAAAAAAAATAGTAATAAATTTTAATTTTTTTTTTTGTTTTTGATAGTAAAACACAAGGTTTGTATATATTTTGTCTCCTAAGTACCACGCTGGCATTGTTGGGGCTCAAAATTAAACGGGATTTTGAATTTTCTGTTTTTATTTTGGTTTGAAATGTGGTAAAGAATGTCAAAACATAGCAACTGCATCATTAGGGGAGGCGTCAGAATAAATCCGATCTGTCATCAGCTAAAAAAAGATCCCCTTAATCCTAACGATGCGTATCTTTGACAAACTTTAAATTGCAGCTGACGCGATGCTAAGAGACCGAGTACACACACTTTTATGGTGCTTTATTAATTAAATATGGCGCCCAATATGCAACATACACTCTTATAATATTACTGTGAAAAAAAATAAGACAAAGAATTCAACTAATCAGTACTTCTCATTCACTCGTGACTTTTCCGGCCTAAACGTACGAAAGGGGGAAATTTAGGATGTTGTGAAAAAAGATATAATTTAGTATGGTCAATTGATATGTTACAAAAACTAATTTTAAAAACAGTTAATCGAGTACTAGTTAGTCGTTATATAAACGCCAACACCCCATTTTGGAAGTTTAGGCCTTAACCTCCGACAAAATCATTTTTCGGTGACTTATTAACGGAATTAGTAAACTTCCATTTTCTGGTCATACACCACTCGTGTATATGCGCTCTAATGTGGCAGAGGAAAGAGAAAACAAAGAATTGCGCGATACAATATGGTAAGTCATTATAATACCTTTTGATGTGATCCTCTTTGATGTGAGTGACATTTTGTAAACTGGGAGTGATTTGCCTTGGTCGGCAGCACTTGGGAATGATATGGCGCGCATTGTGACCTAAGGGTGAGTGCACATGGGGCGAACTAATCGAAATAGGTACCAATAATAACATTCGTGAACTTTAGGGACTATTTTTAAAGTAATTCGCTATATTGATGTAAGGGTTGGCAATCTAGTTTTTTTTTCGTGCAAGGCAGTACTTTGTCTGTTTGAATATGGTTGTACTATGTTCTGCAAGGTTCAAATTCAGTGTTTCTCGCACTTAACGCCGTGTGAAATAATGCGTTCCACCACTCACGACGGAAAAACTAATCCTAGGTTAACATTACTTTATACAAGCCGCTAAAAAAGTTGATAGGCATAGTTGTATTTAGGTTTGCAAACTAAAATACTAAAAGATATATACATTTTATTGACCTGCGTATAATATAACGAAGTATTTATAAAAATGCAATAATTCATAATGATTGAATACCTATAGTTTATTTCACTTATTGCAACATTAAACAACATTAGGCAAGTGTGCACGTATCTTTAGCAGGCTAATTATAGAATGGATTTTTGACGTTTTGTTTTATGGTGTGCCGAGTGATGTCTCCTTAGTTTTGCTTTCGACGCGTTCTTTTAGGAGTATTTACGGTGTTTTAATGTGAGATACATTCATCATATACAGCCATCTATAATAATTAGAAACTTTCAATTAGTTTTAAACTAAAAATTAGTCTTATTTAATAAATACTTACTTTCATAACAGTATTTGAATGTAAATATATTCTACTACTACTATTCTAGTTAAAAGCTTAGTTAGGCATTGTACCAACGTTTGTAGTTTGACCAAATTGCAATATATTCCATAACTTTTTAAACGGTATATAATAAATTACTGTATCTATTTTTTGTGACTATTTTAAACTATCGTTAACGTTTCGAGATTTTAGACGACTGTTTCATCTCAGGGGGAGATTCGTGCATTTCTTTTACATCTAAGGATTCTCAGAAGCGTATGTGTGGCTTGCAACTTCTAAGAGATCGTAAATCGACGATCGATGCCATCTTAGATTAGGGAAAGAAATTCCTTTTACCGTAGCTGTATCTTATAACAATACTAGCTGTTTTTTATTAGTTTCACGACCTGTGTCTTAGATTAAATGTTATTTATAGTTAAAACACTGTAAAGAGTTAGCAGTTCTTGCTATATATCATACTATATACCAGCTATGTAAGTCACTTCACCGGCGTATAATAGTTATTTTGGAAATAAAAACTTGCTTTTGCAAACCTCCTCATCTTCAGTTGTTCTAGAACATTGAAAGAGATTCTTTCATACCTATTTTTTAGTATCTTGAACCGTTCTCGCAGCGCACCCTACGGAGACTATTAAAGATTAACAATTATCCCTGTTTGTTCCTAATTTTCGACGGTTTATTCGCTCCTATTTGTCGCAGCGTGAAATTATATAGCCTGAAGCCTTCGATAGGTGGCCCAACTAATACAATAATACTTTCTTTACAATTCGAACCTTTAGTTTCTGAGATAAACGAGTTCAGACAAACAAACAAATTCTTCAGCTTAATAATATTTAGGCAGGAACATTGTGAAAAGTAAGCATTCTTTTCTACATATTACTATATACCATATTATAAGCTATCTTTGCTTTAAACAAGAAAGTATCTTTGCATTATTAATCGTAGCATGAATATTGTACTTATATGTATGTTTATTAGTTTTCTACGATTAATTGTACAGAATTCCTCCATCGAACAATAAACCTTTCTTTATAAATATTTATCTCCGTAATACGATATCGCAGAATAAACGTCGAATTGGCCTCGTTTAGCGCCATCTTGTGACGATCAACGAATTAATTACTTCAATAGGAATATGTCACGCGGGATGGTAATGGTGCGTGCTAATTAAGGTACGTTTTGATGGGAATACGACGTGACTCATCAGTCTAGGACATCTATCTGGCGCCAGGAGTTAGTGTAAGCAAATAAGATTGAAATATCAAGCTATTATAATACTAGACACTGAAAAATATGGACTTCTGTTGCTAAACACATATTGAACATTCATGAGGGCAAAAACAACAAAAATAATTTATTCGCTCATTTTATTTATTTTAACTAAAATTAAAGCTGAAAAGTTTGTTTGTTTGTGCTCACGACCTACTGGTGTGAATTATATTTTTTTGTATTGATTATAAGATTTATTAAGAAAGGCTTTAGATTATAAAACATCACGCTGCGACCAATAGGAGCAAAGAAACTGCAGGAAATGTGAAAAATTATTCATCTTTGAGAGTTGACTCTAATGATTAAAAAATGTCCGCGATTTAAGATGAACTCGCAAAAACGACGGGATGCAAACGGTGTCGTAGGGAACAGCAATAACTTATACAGATGAGGAGGAGGTTTGCAAAAACGAATGTTGATACCCAAAGTGACTAGTATTTTACAATTTAGCCACGTTATACCGCAAAATCAGAGCTCCTTAAACGTAAGTAAATCAGTTATATTGAAAAGCACACTCGTTCGATATTCACGTAAGCCGAGCATGTAAAAGCCAAGGGTAATTAGGCACTGTTTGATATTTGACGTCGAACG